GGACGCATAGGGCGCACTGCCACCCAGAGCATGCCGTTTCAAGTCTTTGTGCACGTCATGGCACACAGTTTTGAGCTTCGGCGGCAGATGTCGCAACTTGTGGTCTGTGGTGCGATTCATGACGACACCATTGCGGCATCAATGGCGTAACCGTTCGGCGTGCATAATTGATTTTGCAGCCGATGACGCAACATGAAGCGTCAGCCGCTGCGCACCCCATGTCGGCGGCGAGCGAGGGGGGGAAATGCTCAGAAGGCGGCGGGGCTTCTCAGAAGCCATCGCGCCTGCTGAGAAGTTTTGTTGTGCCTTCGGGGATGGCTCAGAAAGCTGCTCGGAAGACCAGGGGAGTTCGGGCCTTCCGAGACGGCCCGCCCCTCCCAATTTCCCCCCAGGCGCGCCGCCAACTATGGGCTGCCTGGCATGAGGCTCAACCCACTGCGCCACCTATTGTCACCACCCACCAAACCACCCCAACCCAACCCGAAGGCTCAGATTTACCCTCGATTTCCAGTGGGGGGGGGGTCGGGAAACATGGAAAAAACACATGTGGAACCCTTACCCCCCCCAACCCGAAACTCGGGTCTTCGGGTTGGGTTGGGGTGGTCTGGTAGGTAGTCATATTGAGCCACCCACGGCGCGGCACGTGGTGAAAGCTGCAGGTGGCGCGGCCTGTTGCGGGCCGGGCGGCCCGGAGTTGTTAGCCGCCTCGGCTTTACAGTCGACTACACGTAAGAGTCGGAGCAGACGGGGTCAGAGGATCGCGCCGCGTCGCCGATGCATCGGAAGCGCGGCTAGGTGCGGAGCCCGATCTTCTCCGCGCCGACGTCGCCGATGCATCGCCCATGCATTGGAGATGCAGTCCAGTGCATCGGCGACGCATCGCCGACGCACCGGCGATGCGGCGCGACACCCCATCTACGCCGACCCCACCCAGGAGGGCTCTAAGGATGCTCCGATCTCCGACGATCCCTCGGGCTCTGGTCAGCCACGCGCAGAGGGGGGGCGGGGGGAGGGGGGAGGGCTTCTTAGAAGCACCCCTGCTTCTTAGACGGCGCGGGCCTCATCTGTAGATGTAAGGCCGGCGCCTTCTACGAAGCGCCTTCTACGCGCGCCGCCAAGAGCAGGCACGCGACCATGCGCTGGCGCAAGGCGCGAGAGTGCGCGGACACCTCCTCGGCCCCTCCTGGCGCCAGCGCCGAGGAGGAGGAGGAGGAGGAGGAGGAGGAGGAGGAGGCGGAGGAGGAGGAGGAAGAGGAGGGGGAGGAGGAGGAGTGGGAGGAGGAGCAGGAAGAGGAGGAGGAGGAGGAGGAAGAGGAGGGGGAGGAGGAGGAGGAGGAGGAAGCCCCTTCCAAGAAGCCCTCTCCCCTCCCCCCCCCCCCCCTTGTGCGCACCGCCAACCTGGGGGGTGCTCTCCCCGCGCGCGCCAGTGCCGTTCTGCCCGGTGTGGCCCTGCCCCCCCGCCCCCTCCGCTCGCTGCCCCTCGCCGCTCTCCGCGCCTCGCCTCCTGGCGCCTCGGGAGCCCCCTCCCTGCCTTCCCCTCCTCCCTGCCTTCCCCTCTCCTCCCTCCCTCCCTTCCCCTCCTCCTCCCTCCCTCCCTCCCTCCCTTCCCTTCCCCTCCCTCCCTCCGCCTCCCTCCTCCCGCCCTCCCCCCCTCCCTCCCTTCCCCTCCCTTCCCCTCCCTCCCTTCCCCTTCTCGCTCCTCCGTCCCGCCTCCCTCTCGGGCGTGCTTCCCGCCCGCTTCCCTCTCGGGCATGATGCCCTCGATCCCCGATGCACCTCGGTGCCCCGATCTCCGACAATGTAGAGCGTTCAATCAGGGCGGTCTTCCTCGGGTTGTGCCTCTTTTCCCGGGGGACATCAGAAACGGATCCGGGGCGGAGAACTGGCCCTCCGAGACGGCGGGCCTCGCATTGAAAAAGTCACACGGGCAGAGGTCTGGGTAATCGATTCTCCATGAATGGGTGTATGTGAATAGCTGGCGCCTTCTTGCCCTCTGGCCTGCCCGTGCGCTTGTTTTGCTCAGGATGCACCTTCTGGGCGGTTGAATTCAGCATCGGCGCCAGTAGATTCGATTCGTGGTGGAAAATTGCCCCAATCCAGTTTACTCCAGTTGAATCGCGACCAATTTGGTTTTAAGTTTGGCTGATCTGGCCGAGTGGCCTTTTAGTCGGGCCGAGTAGCCCCTAGGCATTCTTACGGAGAGCTGCAATGACAGACAGACAGACAGACAGGCCCGCATTCCAGCCCCGAAGGGCGGTCCTGTCAGAGGGCAAGCGCATGGGACACGCAGTCCCTCACATTGGAAGACTGTGGCTATCACTGCATTGGAATCGAAGTCTGCACCGGCTCCGGTAGCCGGAGCGGTCCCTTACAGGGCAGACCGTGCGCTGTTCATGTCGGAAAATTATGACGGCAACGAGCACACGCAAGAATATGCTGTTAATAAATCCTCTGGTGTGCAACTCTGGTATGCAAGCATTCAGCCAGAAACATTCAGGAGAGCTGCAATGAGTTGCTTCCTAACTTCTCTGCGTGAGCTTGCACCCTGTCAGTTCCTGGTCTTTCTGCTTCCCTCGCCACACCTTCACAGGCGACAGGATCCGTGAGGCGGAATGATGAGGTGGGCCAGATAATCGACGCCCCCTCCGAGTCTTATGATGTTCCAACCTCTTGTAGCCTTGTTCACCCCCCAAAACAATTGAGCGCCAAGAAAGTGACGAAACTGGAGGATTTCCACGAGTCTCGGGCCCTGGGGGAATAGATACTCGTTCGACACTTCCCTGGCGTGCCGCGTGGACACTGTTTCGATACTTTCCTGGGTGCTCGAACTTCTTTTATCGCTTCGCTCATTCCGCCGGCCCTGGAGCGCTATTTGGGGCCTCTTGGGGCCGTCTTGGGGGCCTCTTGGGGGCTTCTTGGGAGCGTCTTGGGGCTCCTTGACGGCGTCTTGGGCTCCCCTGGGGCCTCTTAGGGGGCTCTTGGGGGCCCCTTGGGGCGGGAGGGGGGGTAGTCGATTGCACCCACCCCCTCGGAGGTCACGATCCTCGTGAGGGGTGGCGAAAAATAGCCTCCCCCCTGGGGATCGCCCGGGGCCCCTTCCAGGACCCAGCCGGGGATCGGCCGGGGTACTTTTCGTCCGGGGCCCCCCAGGGGCCGCCCCGCGCGCGCGAACTAGAAATATTTTAAGTAGTCACCGGAGATCTTAGCACGCCGCTGGCCCGTTGGGCCGCCGAATTTCTTGGATGTGGTCCTCAAGGGCGACGGGAACAACATAAACCGAGTTGAGCAAATCCAGAAGGTAGATCTGGAGACTCTGCAGAAGCTTCTACGCGAGACGAAGGGCAGCAGAAGTCGTTCAGCCATTGGCGAGAGCCTCGAACCTCGATCCCCGTCTGACAGCCCGAACTCGAACTCGGAAACCCCGATCATCGATCCCCATCCTTCAGCTTTCGGGGGCAACGACAGGGGGGGAATAGGCTGCATCGACCCCCAATCGCCCATTGATCGCCGATGGGGGCCCGGGAGCCCCGTCCCGCCTGGGAGGGTGCGGATTCGCCGTCGGGGGCCTGTCGCCGATCTGTCGGCGATGTGTCGCCGACTCCAGGCCGATGTGTCCCCCCCTTTCGTTGCCCCTCGAGCTCGATCGGTTCGTGCCCGAGCCCGTCGGGCAGCCCCCTCGGCCCTGGGCTCCCGATCCTCGATCCCCGTCTGACCAGAAGACCCGAAGCCTTCGATCCTCGACCCCTCCCCCTTCTCCTCCTCCTCCCCCGCCCCCTCCTCCTCCTCCTCCTCCGCCTCCTCCTCCGCCTCCTCCTCCTCCTCTTTCTCCCTCTCTCTCCCTCTCCGAAGCCCTCGACGTCCGCCCGTGTGCTCTGTGCAGGGGTCCCGACCTCCTCCGCGACCAGTGTTCCACGCCGGATCCACTTTTCGTGGCCCTTTTGGCCGCGATCGCGGGCCCCCGGAAGGAAACCCACCCGAGTCGACGGCCTCCCTTCCTCGGAGTTCTGCCCCCCCGCACCCGGCTCGGGGCCCGTCCCCCGTCCTCCCAGCTCGCGGGCGCGCCCAGGGGGGGCGGCAGCAGGGGTGGGCCTTGGCCTTTTTCGGAAGGCTCCGAAGGCCTCTGGCCGTCTGTGCCTCCGAAGGCTCTGTGAGGCTCTGCAGGCTTTCGAAGCCTTCCAAGGCTTTCTAAGGTTTTCGTGAGCCCCCTTCCCAGGACCGCTGGCCCGAGTGCGCGGTTCCCGGGACGTTAGGATAATGCAGACAGGACAGGAGAGGAGAGGAGAGGAGACGACGATGAGCTTTGGAGACGACGGCAGGGTTCTAGGCTTCCTAGGTGGGGTCCGAGCAGATGGGATCGGAGGCTCGCGCTGCATCGCCGATGCATCGGCGATGCTGCTCAATGTAGGGCCCGACTTTCTCCACGCCGGTGGCGCAGAAGCATCGCCGATATATCGCCGATGCATCGCCGATGCATCGGCGATGTATCGCCGATGCGGCGCGACCTCCGACCCCATCTACTCGGACCCCATGTAGATGGCCTCGAGGCCACAGGGGGCTTCTCTCAAGGTTGGATGGCTTCTGAGCAGCCCCGCCGCCTTCTGAGATCAGGAGCGAAAAGAGGACGTACACATTCATGACTCCACGTTGTTTTCGAGAGTGCGAATTACGGCGCGAACGTTCGCATCACGCGGCCGGTCTCGCGGCTCTGGAGGCCGTTCGTGTCCGCGGTGGGGCGCGTACGTCCTTCCGTGGTCTCCTTGCGAGACGGCCCGCGCCCTCTCTTCGGTTTCCCCCCTCGGCGCAGCCGCCGCCCTCCTCCTCCTCCTCCTCCTCCTCCTCCCCCTCCTCCTCCTCCTCCTCCCTCCTCCCCCTCCTCCTCCTCCTCCTCCTCCTCCTCCTCCTCCTCCTCCTCCTCCTCCTCCTCCTCCTCCTCCTCCTCCTCCTCCTCCTCCTCCCCCTCCTCCTCCTCCGCCGACCCGCGGATCCCGCCGACCCGGCAGGCTCGGGGCTGCAGCGCCCTCTGCAAGCACCGCGTGCTGCGGAAGGAGCTGGGCAAGGTCGGGCTGCGGCACCTGCTCTGCAGGCGCCCGCGCCTGCCCCGAGGGGCCCCCCCTGATGGGCAAATTTTCCACCACCACTACCATATGTAGGGCGGGGGGGAAGGCAGGATGAGGAGGTCCTCCTCCTCCTCCTCCTCGTCCTCCTCTTCCTCCTCCTCTTCCTCCTCCTCCTCCTCCTCCTCCTCCTCCTCCTACCTCTCCTACATATGGTAGTGCTGGTGGAAAATACGCCCATCACCCTCTCTCTCTTTTGACTTGGCATCTCTCGGGCTTGTGCATTTTTTCTCGCCGAGGACGCATCCTGGATCGTCGAGCACGAGAGCACGCACGACATCGAAGAATGCAATGTGGAGTGGACGTCCGAGCGAGGGCGAGGTGAGGGAGATCGTCGGTGCCGTATCGGCGATCTTTCGAGAGGGCGTCGACGAATTTTAGGGAGTCGAAGGAATTCGAGTAGGGTATCGACTACATAATGGATGTCCGCCAACCTATTTTTTTCTCGTCGAGCCCACGGGGCAAATACATATAACAGTCCTCAGATCTAAGGAGCACTGTAAGCATGCGTCGTAGATTCGACGGGAAATCCATGTTGGGGTCACATCGATTCTGGAGTCGATCCCTTGCGCGAGGAATGCAGTGGGGGCTAGCGCCGAGAAGCCACACGCTGTCCGCAAGGGGTGCACACATCGAATCGTCCGTAGATCCAGGGAGCACTGTGGGCATGCTTCGTATATTCGAGGGGAAGTCCATGCTGGGGGCACATCGATTCTGTAGTCGATCCTTTGCTCGCTGCTTGCAGGGGTGCCGCGCGTCGAGGAGCCACATGCTTTCCGCCAGGCGTCTACAAAGAAAGGTGCCTAGATTTACGGAGCACTGTGGGCCTGTTTCGTAGATTCGGCGGGAAGTCCATGTTGGGGCAGGTCGGTTCTGGAGTCGATCTCCTGCTCGGGGACCGTCGATGGGCCGCGTGCTTTCCGCTGGGGGTGTACACATAGAATCGTCCGTAGATCTACGGAGCATTGTAGCATGCGTCGTAAATTCGAGTAGGGGGATCCATGTTGGGGCACATCGATTCTGGAGTCGATCCCTTGCGCGAGGAATGCAGTGGGGGCTAGCGTCGATGAGCCATGTGCTTTCCGCCAGGGGGGTTCACATAACATCGTCCGTAGATCAACGGGGTATTGTGGGCATGTCTCGTAGGTTCGACGGGAATTCCATGTTGGGGGCAGATCGATTCTGTAGTCGATCCCATGCTCGAGAAGTGCAGTGGCGGCGCGCGTCGATGAGCCACATGCTTTCCGCCAGTGGTGCACACATACAATCGTCCGTAGATCGACCGAGCACTATAGGCATGTTTCTTAGATTCGACGGGACATCCACTTCGGGGCAAATCGATTCTGGAGTCGATCCCTTGTTCGAGGAACGCAGTGGGGGCGCGCGTCAATGAGCCACGTCCTTTCCGCTAGGGGTGTACACACAGAATCGTCCGTAGATCTACGGAGCATTCTGGGCATGTTTCGTAGGTCCGACGGGACATCCATGTTGGGGCAAATCGATTATGTAGTCGATCCCGTGCTCGAGGAATGCAGTCATAGAACAGTCCGTAGCCGCCCGCGCCGTCAATAGTGGTTTCTGCGGCTGACAGTCTCCGTGTTCTCCGTGCGCGCATGGGGAAACGGGCGAGAAACCACCTTCTACACACGGCGGGCATCTGTCAAAACACGTTTTTGAGCCGTCGTGGGCGTCTTGGAGCGAGATGTGGGGCGTGTCGGGGCTCTTTTTGGGGTGAAAGAGTGCGTGCAGAGATGCGGGAGTTGTTTGGCGAGGGCTGTCCACGATGCTGTCGAGGGGGACCTCTCGAGGGTCAGGAGGCGGTAATTCGGAGCCTTACGGAGGTTGTTCTAAGTTCTGATGGGACCTCATTCCCGGTGTTCGCCGTGCGCGCATGGCGAGAAGTGCGAGAACCCGCGTTTACAGAGGGCGGGCAGATGTCAAAATGCGTTTTGGAGCCGTCGTGGGCGTCTTGGAGCCAGATGTGGGGCGTGTCGGGGCCCGCCGGGACAGTCTACCGAGTGTTTGCGAAGAGTCCCCCCGGGGCCCCTGGCAAGCGCGGCGCCGCCGCACTGACTCGTATTCGAAGCCTCGTGCAATGATTCGGGGCCTTTCAGTGGCCGGTGGGACCGTCGTGGCGCGGTCGTGGGAACGCCCTGGGCTGAACACAAGCGTTTGATAGCAAAAACAGTGGGGAGCCGAAACACGGTTTATTACCGTGGAGCATTGGCGGAGTTGGCCCCTGGAAGCTTTTTGCGGAGCTGTGTGGGGTTCTCGTCGAGCGTTTTCGGGGCTTCGGGGGCGGTCTTGGAACCGCCGTGGGCGTTTTGGAGCGAGATGTGGGGCGTGTCTGACCTGTTTGGACAGTGTACCGCGTGCTCGCGAAGGAGTGCCCTGGGCCCCCAGCTGTCGCGGCACCGCCCGCACAGCCAGTAGTGATTTCTGCGGCTGACATTCCCAGTGTTCCCCGTGCGCGCATGGGGAAACGTGCGACAATCCACCTTTTACACACGGCGAGCATATGTCAAAACACGTGTTTGTGCCCTCGTGGGCGTCTTGGAGCGAGATGTGGGGCGTGTCGGGGCCCTCGTGGACAGTGTGCCGCGCGCGCGCGCGAAAGATTCCCCCGGGGCCCCCGGCAATCGCGGCACCGCCCGCGCCGCCAATAGTTCAATAGTGGTTTCTGCGGCTGACAGCATCAGTGTTTCCAGTGCGCGCATGGGGAAACGGGCGAGAAAACGGCGGGCATCTGTCAAAACACGTTTTTGAGTCGTCGTGGGCGTCTTGGAGCGAGATGTGGGGCGTGTCGGGGCCCTATTTGGGGTGAGAGAGTGCGTGCAGAGATGCGGGATTTGGTTGGCGAGGGCTGTCCACGATGCTGTCTGGGGGACCTGTCGAGGGTCAGGAGGCGGCAATTCGGAGCTTTCCGGAGGTTGTTTGAAGTTCTCGCGGGACCTTATTCTCGGTGTTCGCAGAGCGCGCATGGCGGAACGTGCGAGAACCCACGTTTACAAACGGCGAGCATCTGTCAAAGTGTGTTGTGGAGCCTCGTGGGCGTCTTGGAGCGAGATGTGGGGCGTGTGGGGCCTTTTTGGACAGTGTGCCGCGCGCGCGCGAAAGATTCCCCTGGGGTCCCGCAGTCGCGGCACCGCCCGCGCCGCCAATAATAGTGGTTTCTGCGGCTGGCAGTCCCCTCGTTCCCCGTGCGCGCGCATGGGGAAACGGGCGGAGCATTCTGGGCATGTTTCGTAGGTCCGACGGGACATCCATGTTGGGGCAAATCGATTATGTAGTCGATCCCGTGCTCGAGGAATGCAGTCATAGAACAGTCCGTAGCCGCCCGCGCCGTCAATAGTGGTTTCTGCGGCTGACAGTCTCCGTGTTCTCCGTGCGCGCATGGGGAAACGGGCGAGAAACCACCTTCTACACACGGCGGGCATCTGTCAAAACACGTTTTTGAGCCGTCGTGGGCGTCTTGGAGCGAGATGTGGGGCGTGTCGGGGCTCTTTTTGGGGTGAAAGAGTGCGTGCAGAGATGCGGGAGTTGTTTGGCGAGGGCTGTCCACGATGCTGTCGAGGGGGACCTCTCGAGGGTCAGGAGGCGGTAATTCGGAGCCTTACGGAGGTTGTTCTAAGTTCTGATGGGACCTCATTCCCGGTGTTCGCCGTGCGCGCATGGCGAGAAGTGCGAGAACCCGCGTTTACAGAGGGCGGGCAGATGTCAAAATGCGTTTTGGAGCCGTCGTGGGCGTCTTGGAGCCAGATGTGGGGCGTGTCGGGGCCCGCCGGGACAGTCTACCGAGTGTTTGCGAAGAGTCCCCCCGGGGCCCCTGGCAAGCGCGGCGCCGCCGCACTGACTCGTATTCGAAGCCTCGTGCAATGATTCGGGGCCTTTCAGTGGCCGGTGGGACCGTCGTGGCGCGGTCGTGGGAACGCCCTGGGCTGAACACAAGCGTTTGATAGCAAAAACAGTGGGGAGCCGAAACACGGTTTATTACCGTGGAGCATTGGCGGAGTTGGCCCCTGGAAGCTTTTTGCGGAGCTGTGTGGGGTTCTCGTCGAGCGTTTTCGGGGCTTCGGGGGCGGTCTTGGAACCGCCGTGGGCGTTTTGGAGCGAGATGTGGGGCGTGTCTGACCTGTTTGGACAGTGTACCGCGTGCTCGCGAAGGAGTGCCCTGGGCCCCCAGCTGTCGCGGCACCGCCCGCACAGCCAGTAGTGATTTCTGCGGCTGACATTCCCAGTGTTCCCCGTGCGCGCATGGGGAAACGTGCGACAATCCACCTTTTACACACGGCGAGCATATGTCAAAACACGTGTTTGTGCCCTCGTGGGCGTCTTGGAGCGAGATGTGGGGCGTGTCGGGGCCCTCGTGGACAGTGTGCCGCGCGCGCGCGCGAAAGATTCCCCCGGGGCCCCCGGCAATCGCGGCACCGCCCGCGCCGCCAATAGTTCAATAGTGGTTTCTGCGGCTGACAGCATCAGTGTTTCCAGTGCGCGCATGGGGAAACGGGCGAGAAAACGGCGGGCATCTGTCAAAACACGTTTTTGAGTCGTCGTGGGCGTCTTGGAGCGAGATGTGGGGCGTGTCGGGGCCCTATTTGGGGTGAGAGAGTGCGTGCAGAGATGCGGGATTTGGTTGGCGAGGGCTGTCCACGATGCTGTCTGGGGGACCTGTCGAGGGTCAGGAGGCGGCAATTCGGAGCTTTCCGGAGGTTGTTTGAAGTTCTCGCGGGACCTTATTCTCGGTGTTCGCAGAGCGCGCATGGCGGAACGTGCGAGAACCCACGTTTACAAACGGCGAGCATCTGTCAAAGTGTGTTGTGGAGCCTCGTGGGCGTCTTGGAGCGAGATGTGGGGCGTGTGGGGCCTTTTTGGACAGTGTGCCGCGCGCGCGCGAAAGATTCCCCTGGGGTCCCGCAGTCGCGGCACCGCCCGCGCCGCCAATAATAGTGGTTTCTGCGGCTGGCAGTCCCCTCGTTCCCCGTGCGCGCGCATGGGGAAACGGGCGGGGATCCACCTTTTTAAGCGCGGCGGGCATATGTCAAAACACGTTTTTGGGCAATCGTGGGCGTTTTGGAGCGAGATGAGGGGTGTGTCGTGCCCCCCTTGGGGTTGAAACGTGCGCGCAGAGATGCGGGAATGCGTTGGCGAGGGCAGTCCACGATGCTGTCGAGGGGGACCTCCTGAGGGTCAAGAGGCGGTAGTTCGGAGCCTTACGGAGGTTGATCGATTGTTCCGATAGGGCCCCATATTCGGTGTTCGCCGTGCTCGCATGGCGAAGCGTGCGGATACCCACGTTTACGGACGGCGGGCATATGTCAAAATGTGTTTGGGAGCCGTCGTGGGCGCTTTGGAGCGATATGTGGGGCGTGTCGGGGTCCCCTTGGACAGTCTACCGCGCGTGCGCGAACAATTCCCCAGGGGCCCAACAAGCGCGGAACCGCCCGCGCAAGCAGTATTGAATTCTGTCGGTGGCATTATTAGTGCTCGCCGTGCAAGCATAGGGGAACGGGTGAAGAACCACGTATGCAATGGGCGGGTATCTGTCGAAGGACCGGATTAATGGTTACCAAATGGTTTTTCGGCACATCCCGCCACAGTACTTGGGCTGCTGGTTTGAGGCCATTATGATGGCATGTGGGGTTTCGCGGGAGGCTTCCCAGGGACGTTTGGGAATCAGTTTGCGAACCTTTTGGGGGCCTCTTGGGGGCCTCCTGCGTTTTTTGAGGGCCTGTTGGGCTGTTGGTGTTCCCTGGGGGCCTGTTGGGTTTTTTTTGCGGGGGCAGTCGGGGGGCGTTTTATGGTCGAAGGGTCGAACTGTCCGTTCGGGCTCTTCTTTTGGGCCCCCTCTCTTGGGGCTGTCCTGGGCCCCCTGGGCCGTCCTGGGGGTTTCGAGCGGTTTGGGAGCCTTTTTGGGGTCGTTTGGGGTGCCTTTTGAGCGTTCCTGGGGCGATCTAGAAGGTTTTTTGGACCGCGTTGGACGTTGTCGACGCACAACAGGCGAAGGTGCTAAACATTCAGTCCCCCCCCAAGAAAAAGGGACGCGGCTGTTTTTTGAAGCCGTCCTGGGACGCCTCTTGGAGGTTTCGGGAGACGTTTTGTGAGGCGTTTGGGCCGTTCTCGGGAAGATATTTCGGCGGCTCGTGGCCCTCTTGAACCGTCCGGAGGGCCTCTTGGAACCCTCCTGGCCTGTTTTGGGGACCTCCTCTGTCCCCCCGTGATGCGTTTGGCCCGTTCCCGGGGACCCCCCCCTGCTCCAAATCGACCCGACCAGGCTGCCGAGCTTATTTTTGTTTGTTTGCGATTCTTTCCGCGATCCAGCGCTCCAGGACTACGTCAGAGGCCCCGAGAATCACCCCGAGACGGCCTAAGAGACTCCCAAGTGGGCGCCAGGACGGCCCAAGAGGCCCCCCAAACGGCCCAAGAGATCTCCAAGACGGCCCGAGACCACATCAGAAACCGCCAAAGGTCGGCCCCAGAGGGAGAGCACGAACCAAGATGGAGACATCTCCGCGCACCCGGACCCCCAGAGTCCCCAAGAGTCTTGGAGCACGAACGAAGCAGGCCCCGAGAGTCCTCTCACGAGGTCCCCCGAAGCGCTATCAGACGGCCCGCGGCGCCCTCTAGACGCTCTAGGAGCGCTCTAGGGCTCCATGGGGCAGGCATCAGTGGTTTTCCGATGGTTGTTGCAGTTTTTGGTGTTCCCCCGCCACCACCTGGGCACACAATTTAGCACCCTGGGGTCCAGGGCTCTTTCTCGGAGCTCTGGGAGCTTATATCGGCTTCAAGGGTAGTCGAAGTCACGATTTCGACATCCGAACGGCGCCGGGAGAGCCCCCCACAGAGCGCTCCAGGAGGCCCCAGGTGAACCTCAAGAAGGGCCTGGAGGCTCCCTGGATGCCTCGGGAACTTTCCAGACGCTTCCCGAGAAGGTTCGCGGCCTCCTAGATCGGGTCGGAGTAGATGGGGTCGGAGAACGCTGCATCGCCGATAAATCGGCGACGCGGCTCTATGTCGGGCCCGATTTGCTTCACGTCGACGTCGCCGATGCATCGCCGACGTCGCCGTTGCATCGCCGGTGCATCGCCGGTGCATCGCCGATGCATCGACGATGCATCAGCGATGCATCGGCGAAGCGGCGCGATCTTCTGACCCCATCTACTCCGACACCATCCAGGAGGCCTCTGAAGATGTCGGGAGGCCGCAATCGGACAGGGCAGTTCCCTTGTGAAACCATACACTTTCAGCAGCCATGCGCTTGAGGTCTCCGCTGCGTCCACGACGGCCCCAGGTGGACCTCGAGAGGGGCCCGGAGGCTCCCTGGAGGCCTCGGGAATTTTTTCCCAGACGCTTCTCGAGAAGATGTCGGGAGGTCGCAGTCGGGCAGCTCCCTGGGGAAAACATCCGGTTACAGCAGGCGCGCGCTCGAGGTCTCCACTGCGTCTGCGAGACGGCGCCCGGTGCTCTCCAGGGAGGCCACAGGCGGCCCACTCCTCCTCCTCCTCCTCCTCCTCCTCCTCCTCCTCCTCCTCCTCCTCCTCCTGTTCCTCCTCCTGTTCCTCCTTTTCCTCCTCGTCCACCTCCTCCTCCACCTCCTCCGCCTCCGCCTCCTCCTCCGCCTCCGCCTCCTCTGCCTCCTCCTCCTCCTCCTCCGCCTCGTCCTCCTCCTCCTCCTCCTCCTCCTCCTCCTCCGCCTCCTCCTCCTCCTCCCAAAGACGGCCCAGGCGCACGAGGCCTGGGGTCGGCGTTACCCCAACATACCAATGCTATGTGTCCGTCGCCCCCCCAGGTGCGACGCGCGCACCGAGAAATCTTGCAGTGTATGCGCCGTGGCGGGCGCTTTCTGGCCGCACCGCCCGGAAAACGATATACGACAATCAGGAGGGAAAGAAACACACAGACACAATTCATCGTCGATTCCCAGGAACATATGCGAACGTATGGGGAGAGGGGGGGGGGAGACGACGAAGACCCAGAAAATGGGAAAATATTTGGGATCCTGGGATTTGTGTGTATTTGTTTGTGTGCCCCTTGGGCGCCCTTGCACAAGATGGGTGTGCTACATGTTCGGGTCGGATGCGCGCCTCCAAGGAGGACATACAGTGCTAGTATGTCTCTCTGCGTCCCATGGGGGCCCAGGGCCCGGGTCCCGACGGCGCATGAGGCGCCCCGGGGGCCCTGCCGGGGCGCCGGGGGTATTCGTAGATCGCCCGGAGACGACGGCCTCGGATCGCCTCAGGGATGGCGCTTCCAGACTTTGACAACGACCACTGGCTGTCCGAGATCACCCCAGAATTGGCCCCTGACTGCTCGAAGGGCCCCTCAGGACGCCGCCTCCGAGATGCCGCCCAAGGAGCCCCAGGAGGCAAAAATCATTGGTTCGCCGTCGGTTCTTCAAGGATTTGCCCGAGTTCTCGCCTCTAGAGGCCCCAATATCCGCTCCAAGACATCGCAAGAGGTCTCCAAGACAGCCTCCGTAACCATTTTGCCTCAAGCCGTGTTGGAGTAAGCAGCCAGGGTGTCGCAACCTGATTTCACACGCTGTGCTGGAAGCCTCTAAGATGACCGCTTCCACGCTGGTCGTGTTCGGGCTCGTGCTTGCGCTCGTGGCGCTCGAGGGTTCTGCCAACGATGTTGCCATAATTTCCGATTGCGATGCATCGGGTAGTCCTTTCTCATGCATGCACCGGTCTGCCCTCGCACCCCTGGCCAGTAAGTATCCAGGGAGCAATTTCGACGATGTCACTCTTTTGCCCGATGCTTTTGGGGGCCCAACGCCAACGTCAGATTGGCTGGCAGCCAATGCGACAAAATACCACATTGTGATCTCGATCGGCTTCCAGTACAATGACGCAATGACAGCTGCTGCCGGCAACGCGGACCACTCTGCCACGTGGTTTGCCAGCGTGGACGAAGACGCATGTGCGGGCTCGGGGAACCTTGTCTGCGTGAAGTTTGACGAGGCGGCCCTCGGCTTCGTCGCGGGCGCTCTGGCTGGCCTGGTGACCACATCTCAGGTCACGGGCGCGGTCGGGGCTCTCCCAATCGGCCCCATCAAGCGCTTCCTCATTGGCTACCGGATGGGCGTGCATCGCACATGTCCAGACTGCAAGGTGGAGAGCGGCACTGTGAACCACTTCGGCCACGTAGAGAACGGCGTGGGCATTGCCGATTGGCTTCGCAGCACGGGTGCCGATGTCGTGTTCGGGGCTGGCGGGTACACTGGGTCGGTGGCCATCATGCGATCCGCGAGTCTCGGGAGCCATGTCATCGGGGTTGACACGGATGAGTTCGAGGGCACGTTCGCCAATGAGAACGCGTCTGTCCGAAGCATGGTCCTGAGCTCAGCTATGAAAAAGCTCGACGTTACCGTTGAGCTGGTCGTGTCTCTGTTCTTGGGCATCCCCACAAGCGACACGGTGCCAGAGGTATCAGGGGGGAACCAAAATTACTCCGACGGTAGGACCCCGCATGAGAATCTGTTTAGTTTACCCTTTGCCCTTTCCTCCTCCCCCTGGCGGACACCCTCTCCTCTCGCCCTCTGCACTGCCCTCTCTTCCTCATTATATTCCTCTTCCTACTTTTCCTCCTCCTCCTCCTCCTCCTCCTCCTCCTCCTCCTCCTCTCGCGCCACCTCCTCCTCGTCGTCGCCCTCCCCCATGCCCCTTCCCTCCTCATCCTCGTGCTTTTTTTCCATGTGCACTTCCCGTTCCCCCTGGTCGTGGCAAGCAAGTCGATTTTCGTCGGCGCCGTCGCCGCGTCGGCCAGCACGCGCGCGTTTGCCGACGGCTAGATCGCGAAGCCGTCGGGACAACCCTTCGGGCCAGGCCGTTGGGGCAACCTCGCAGGCCGCAGGGGCGCGGGAGCCAGCCGTTGGGACAACCCCGCGGGCCTGTAGGTGCGCGCCGCGGCGCTCAGGCGGGCGGCAGCACGAAACCCTCAGCCCTGGAATCCACCGCTCTCGTGTCGAATTCCTGGAGCGCCTTCCGCAGTGACGCCGGCGGCCCGCGCTCCAGGAACTCTCGCGCGGGCGGCCGCAGGATCAGCATGTTCCGCATGCGCGTGGCGCAGGAGAACATGACGTAGAGGTGCAGCCACCACATCTCGTCCGAGATGCCCGTGCGGCCAGCGTCCTCATCCCTGGCGCAGTCGATGGTGACGCCGTCGCACAGCGTCTGGCCCTGCGACAGCGTGGAGGTCAGGTAGGACGCATGCGTCAGGGTGAACCCCGAGCGGCGCACAGCGTGCGCCCCCGAGCTTTGCCACGTGAGCTCCTGCTCGCTGGGCCTGAACATGAGCAAGCTCCTCGCCGGCGCTTCGGCCTCGCCGTCGTCGGCAGCGCCATCGGCGCCCTGCAGCAGCACCTCGGCGACCTCCTTGTAGATCGGGGGCTCCTGGAAGCCGTGCGCCTGCAGCCAGATTCCCTGCGGTAGGAAGCGGGGGCGGAAGAGCTGGCCTGGCGCGCACTCCTCGTAGTCCCGCTCGTCGTCTGCGTGAAACTTGAAGGACACGATGGTGGCCCGTTGCTCCCGCACGAGCCCCAACTTCTTCTTCAGTTCCTCCTGCACGGCCGTGAACGGGACCTCCATGCCGACGTGTGCCGGTAAGACGCCGTGGATGTCTCCCGTCTTGTGCATGTTCGGGACGTTCAGGAGGCGCCGGCCTGTGTCTGGGTCGCCTTTAATCGTGCCGCACTCGTTTACGGCCTGCAGGAAAACGAGGGGGACGCCGAGGCGCCGCGCGTCGCGACGAGCGCGCGTGTTGATCCACCTCGCCATCGTCTCCCAGTAGATGCCCATGCCGTAGCCCCATAAGGAGGGCGCTCCAGCCTGAGACGTCCTCGCAATTCACTCAGAGACGAGGATCCCGCCTGACACTTCCTCCATATTCAGGCCTGAAGAGCCCCAAAGTAACGACAGTTACAAGGTTCCGATGACCCGCTCGGATTAGTAACATGATCTGCGGGCCCCATAGGGAAGGGGCTCCCGCGTGAGACTTCCTCGCAATTCACTCACAGACGAGGCTCCCGCCGGATACTTCCTGCATATTCAAGCTTCAGAGGCCCAAAAGTGACGACAGTTACAAGTTCCCGATGACCCGCTTGGATTAGTAACGTGATCTGCGGGCCCCATAGGGAGGGGGTTCCCGCCTGAGACATCTTCGCAATTCACTCAGAGACGAGGCTCCCGCCGGATACTCCCTCCATATTCAGGCCTCAAGAGCCCAAAAGTGACGACAGTTGCAAGGTTCCGATGACCCGCTCGGATTAGTAACGTGATCTGCGGGCCCCATAGGGAGGGGGCTCCCGCCTGAGACTTCCTCGCAATTCACTCACCGACGAGGCTCCCGCCTGATACTTCCCGCATATTCAAGCTTCAGAGGCCCAAAAGTGACGACAGTTACAAGTTTCCGATGACCCGCTTGGATTAGTAACGGGATCTGCGGGCCCCATAGGGAGGGGGCTCCCGTCTGAGACTTCGTCGCAATTCACCCAGAGGCTCCCGCCTGATGACGACATGATGAGTGAGCGAATGATGATGATGAGTGTGTGATGAATGAGTGATGGTGCTGATGATGATGATGATGATGATGAGGATGATGATGAGGATGATGGTGATGATGAGGATGATGATGATGATGGGTGATCGAGAGATTCTGATGGAGATGGTGACGATGATGTTGAGAGTGGCGGCGGTCCTACCGTCGGAGGACCACTGCTTCCGAAGCCTATTGAGGATGAGTGAGTAATTGACTGAGTGAGTGGGTGATCGAGTGGTGATGATGGTGACGATGATGATGAGGATGATGATGATGAGTAGTGATGACGGTGATGGTGGTTGATGGTGATGATGATGGTAATGATGATGAGTGTGTGCGTGTGATGACGATGATGGTGGTTGATGCTGATGATGATGGCCATGATGGTGAGTGAGAGAGAGAGAGAGGAAAGGGGGTGTGTGAGATCCTGCGCGGCGTGTGCAGAGAAAACAAGAACCCCATTTTGGATGAGGGGAAAACACAGACACAATTAATTGTCGATTCCCCAGCAAATACGGGAAAATATGGGAAGTGGGGGGGAAGACGAAACCAAAACAGAACATGGAAACAATCTGGGAATCCAGTTAATCGTGTGTATTTATTTGTGTGTGTCCTTGGGCCCCTTCAAGGTGGTCGACGGCACGCTGACGCTGGACTATGCCAACGGCGGCGTCGGCCTTGCGGATTGCCACCTGGCCTGCACCACCATCGGCGCCCAGAAGTGGTCGACGGCAACCAGGCTTGAGCGGAGCATAGGCGCTGGAAACGTCCTCGTGCCCATGAGCCCAGACAACAGCTACATCCACGACACTCCGCTCCAGAGCAACAGCTTCGAGGTCGCCGCGAATTCTGCGTCGCCGCCCTCTGCTAGGACCCAGTTTGCCATGACAACCTGGTCCACTCTTTGGAAGAACCACTTCGTGGTGTTTGGGGGGCTCGGCGACTCGGGGGTACTGAACGACCTCTGGCTCTACGAAATCGATTTTGCCAAGTGGCTCCCAGCCGACCACGGCTTGACGACCGGAAGTCCGCCGCCCCCACTCCAGAAGTCTTGCGCCGTTTCTTTGGGGGCATTCTTGGAACGCAAGGTCGTGATCTTCGGAGGGAAGGACGAAAACGATCAGCAGTCTGACAAGAGCTACATGTTCGCTGGGCAGCCGCCGTTTCCATGGGTCGCGGACTACGCTGACATCCATTACGAATGGACACACCTCAGCAGCGGCGGCACACCACCAGCGGTTGAGGGCCCAGGCTGCGCCGCTTTCAACGAGACTTGCGCGCTGGTCTTCGGAGGCAGGGCCTTCGGTGGTTTGACCTCTGATCTGGACCTCCTCTGTTTGAACAACGGCGTGGCCGACTGGACCAACGTGTGGGAAGCCTCAGGAGGAGGCAATGGTCCAGCCAAGCGAGAGCGGGCGGCAGTCGCTGTGGTCAGCGGTAGTGCAGTCGGGCTGTCCGCGGAGAACGTGCTGGTCGTTGCCGGCGGCATCGACTCCATTGCTAACCTTTGGTTGACTGACGTTTGGGCATTCAGCTTGAGCGACCTTGAATGGACGGCACTTCCTACTCTGCCCTTCGAGGTCCAGTCAACTCCTCTCCTCTTCACCGCCGTTCCTGACGGCGCAGTCGCGGACGTTCTCGTCTTGCAGTTTACGTCTGACACGGAGAGCTATGGACCTGGCGCGATGACGCTGGACCTTGGTAAAGCCATATGGTCCGTGCAGCCTGGATACTTCATGTCTCCCCCAGCGGACGGGTTGGAACTGGGCGCGGCCGTGTGGACCGGCGTGTCGACGTGGTTGTTCGGAGGACAGTCTTCCGATGGCAGTGCTTCCCTCGGCGAGCTCTACAAGGCTGACTTCGCCTTCAAGAAGGACTGCCCGCCTGGCCAGGAGTCAGACGGGGCCGACTGCGTGGATTGCCCCACGGGCTTCTTCTCACTCGGGGGTTCGGGCGAGTCCTGCAATCAGTGTCCACCAGGCAGGGCCGCGCCAAACCCAGGCACTGCATCGTGTGGCCTTTGCGATGCTGGGAGGTTCTCTGGTGCTGGGAGCGCCAATTGCACCTCATGCCCGGCAGGCACGAGCACGAACAACGGCAGGGGTGAGTCTGAGTGCTCCAATTGTGCTTCTGGACAGTATGCTGGTGTTCCAGGCCAAGCTGCATGCACCTTGTGCGAACTTGGCAGGTACGTAAGCGCAACAGGAAGCAGCGAGTGCAATGCATGCGAAGGCGACTTGACCACTGCCTACCCGGGTACGCCCAGCATAGACTTGTGCGTCTGCGCGGAGGACTCTTACAGGCCTGTGCAGGCTGGGAGCATCAATCGGTCCGACTGCGAGCCCTGCCCCAGTGGTATGACCTGTGCCACGGGCAGTGACATGATCTTCATGCCTGGCAGCTCAGCCGAAATTGCAGGCGGCACGATTCCGCTCGTCGACGAAGGCTACTACACGACGTTCCATGAACCGTTAAGCGTTTATTTGTGTGGTCAGTCTTCCCATTGCATCGGGGGTCTGCCAGAAACGTGTGCAGGCAGCCGGTCTGGCCTGAATTGCGCCATCTGTCCAGAAGGCACGTCTCCAGGAAATCCTGGCTGCGACACATGTCCGGCTTCGACTTTTGCCCTGTTCATCGTTGCGGTCATCGTTGCGCTCGTCGTCGTACCAGTGGGCCTCTACTACTGGGGCAACAGCGTCGTCTCGACAAGGACATCTACCTTTCTTGGCGCATCGCTCGCTGCAGGGATCATCGTCACCGTCGCACAGGTATTCGGGACGTTCTCCAGACTGACCGTGCCATGGCCAACCAGCGTCGGGAACACACTCAGTGGTTTCAGCATCCTCATGTTCGACCCGCGGTCTGTCGGCGTCGAGTGCGTCTTGGGCAGCGACGGCGTCAATGATTACATATTTCAAGCCATTGCCCCCTTCGTGATGATCGTCGTCTTCCTTGCCCTCTACTTTGGGTCTCGGCTCTTGCCTCTGATCGGGCAGCCAGCCTGGGAAAGCGACAAGGTGCTGAATTCAGTTGGGGCGTTTTTCCAAGTGGTGTTCATTGCGCTCGTCGGGGTGTCCATGGTGCCGCTTCAGTGTTACTCGCACCCAAACGGCGAAAAAAGCATCGTGATGTATCCCGAGTTCTTGTGCGGCCAGGACGAGCACACCACCCTAGTTGCATTCGGCATCGTGGTGTTCCTCTTTGTGGTTCTGCCTGCCCTGGCATTGCACATCTGGGCCACCATCAAGGCTACCTCTTCTACTCTTCGGATTGGTGCGAACGCGGCTCTGCTGGTCCGCTTCCGTTTCGTGTTCTATCGTTTTCGCCCAGACGTTTGGTGGTGGGGTAATGTCTACATGATTCGTCAGCTTCTCCTGGCCATGGGCCCCATTGTTCAGCCCGACGACCCGAATTTTCAAGTGATATTTGTTGTCGCCACCTTGTCATTCTACGTTGCCCTGCTCTGCGCCTACTGGCCATGGAAAACACCTGAACTCAATCTATTGGATTGCATATCGTCGCTGATGCTCTCCCTGATTGTTGTGTCTGTGAGCAGCTTCATGCCGAAGTCCGACTGGGATGGCGAGCATTTGGGTCTCATGTGGACCATGCTCTCCTTCGTTTTCGTGCTCAACGTCGCAATGATGCTATTTGTTATATTCAGCATGTTTTCCAAGGGCCCGACGGGGCTCTTTGGGTTCCGGTATCCGCGTGAAAAGATCATGTTGGAGTTTGCACAAGAATGGGCTGCGTTGTGCAAGCTCCACACCACGTTCGACGTGGGCGCCACGGCAGAGTGGCTAGAGAGCATGAACGACTACGACCGCCAGGCGATCGATAGAGCCATCAGCGTGTCCCAGGCCTATGGTATCGCGGGAACGCGCACGATCATATCGACCAAGAGCATCCCTCGCGTTGTCCTGGACAAGGCAGAGTTGAAAAGGTTATCTCAGATGCCGAGTGCACTCGACGCAGTGCCCGCGTCTAACCTCAAGACGGAGGACCCCGAGCTGGAGGGCCCTGCCCTTGCGGGCAGCGACGGCAACGACGTGCCCGACGAGGAGGCGTAGGCATAACACCGCGAGTGGGGATCTAAGTCAGCTTGCCCGGGGGAGGTTTGTCTAAGTCAGCTCCCCTCCGCCTCAGTGCAATCGCCTACGTAGTCTCGTGGAGCTCATCCAAAAATGAGTTACACCGGAGAAAAAACCCAGTCAGTGGATGGTTCCCAGACATGATCGCGTCGTGGAAAGGTCAGGGCGGCGAGTTTTCGGCAGTTTTCGGCCTCGTGGGGCCCTCGCCGGGCCTCGGGACCGTCAACAAAACGACTCAGGATGAAAAACTGGTCCGGGGGAAAGGGTCGGGACTTTCGGGGGCGCCGTCCTGAAATTATCCTGGCGAAGGACCCAACCATGCGCAGTTGTGAATACCGCAATTCTGAATCTCATCTGCGAACGCGAACTACCCGTGGCTGGTTTTGCCGGGGTCCTCCGGGGCAGCGGGGGGCAAGGCTGACGATCAGGAGCAGCGTTCCGCTCCGTAGCCACCGTTCTGGTTCAATAGGCCTACCGCGCGGGGAGCGCGGGCGCCCTTGGCCGCGCGTGCAGGAGGCAGAAAACATCCTCGACTCATCTATCGAGCTCGTCTCTAGTCGCGATCGTGGAGTTCGCAGTGGCTCGAGCCAAGTGCGAGTGAGGAGCTGGTGATTAGGCAGGAGCCTGTCACCCGGACGATGGCGGACAACAGCGGCTTCAACACGAAACGGTCCAGCGGCGACGGGGACGACGGCGCGGCGGCCTGCAAAGACTGGAAGAGGTGGGCCACGGCGGCGATAGTGGTGCAAAAGGCAAGGAACACGCCTGTCGAGGCGCTGGGCCCGTGGTTGTACACGTTCCTCGACGGCCAGGCGGCGTTGGCGGTGGAGAACGTGGACCTGTCGGAAATCAACGTCGAGTCGGGCGAGGAGGTGGTGTTCGTTCGCCTCGACGAGCGGTTCCCCGACAAGGTTGCGGCGGATCGCCTGGGTGAGGCCATGGAGGACGACTTCAGCTTGCGGATCCAGAAGCAGGATACCACGGAGGCTTACACCGGGCGTGCGCAGCTGGTGTTCGCGCGGTTGGCCAAGGAGGGCGTGGACCTTCCGTCGGTCGCGAGGGGGCTACCTGATCCTGCGCGGCGCGAGGTTGGGCAACTTCGGCCGGGCGACGGTGATGTCGGCGACCCACCGGAGCTGGAACGTGGACGAAGTGTGCGCGGCGATCAGGACGGCCTTCCCGGGGATCCCCCCGGAGAGGCTCACGCAGGCGGCGTACGCGGTGGAGGAGGAGCCCGTGGACAACGAGGTTCCCCCGCCGCCCGAGCCCTACCAGGAGGAGGGCGCCGAGGGCGATGTCACCCAGGAGGTCGACGCGATCGCCCAGGCTGCGGAGCCCATCGAGGAGTCGGATGCGGTAGAGATCCTGGCGATTTGGAAGCAGACGCGAGTGGCCATGAACAAGGAAAGGTTGGATCGCGGGCTGAGGCCCGGATGGGTGGCACGGCGCCCAGGCCCCAGCGGGCCTACGCGGCAGGACCTCGACAAGCTCGGCCGGCGGGCGAAGTGTTTTAGGTGCAATAAGATCGGCCACTTCAGCCGGGACTGTATGGAGGCTCTTCGCGCTCACGGCGCCGGCACGGTGATCGCGGAACCGATGGAGCCAGAGGCTGTTGGCGAAGTGCGAGTCGAGATGGTGCAGCCCTGTCTCGAGGACGACCTGGACGACGAGATCAACAGCACCCTGAAGGTCCACGAGGACAACGTGCTGGCGAAGCTCATCCAGGAAGAGCGGTGGAAGAGGCTGGAGCATGAGATGAAGGATAAGCAGGAGGACGACGACGCGACGCCCGAGGTAAAGGCCACCGAGGAGGGCACGGTCCTGGGGGTGACGCATTCTGATGGGCGCTCGGCCCCAGACACCGGGCGTTGCAAGACCCTGATCGGTGAAGATACGCTGACGAAGCACGAGGAGGCAACCGGCAAGAAGGCCAAGTGGTTCAAGGACGTCAAGCCGATGCGGTTCCGAGGGTTCGACAACAGCGTGCAAGAGTCCATAGGTGCGGTGGAGCTAGACTGGGTGATCAAGAACCACATCGGGACGTTCCTAGTGTACGTGGTGCCAGGTTCGGCGGGCTTCCTGATGAGCAAGCCAGACCTGAAAGCCCTGGGAGCGGCCATCGACCTCGAGACGGATTCGATGCACCTGAAGCGGCTGGACATCACAATCTTTCTGAACGAGACGGTGGCAGGTCACTGCGAGATCGACTTCCTGAATCGGGAGAAGAGGGCCCGGAGGCAGATGCACGAGTCGGCGGTGCGCGTGCAGAGCGTGGCCAAGAGCGCGGGCGCCCCGACTTTTCAGTAGGGCCGGGTCGGAGCCCACAGGCCGGGAGGATGGTGACCGAGCTGTTCTCCCCGCCGCGGATCGTGCCGGTCGCGGCGCGGTCGGGGTTCCTGGAGGGTCAGAGCCTCGACAAGGCGCACGGCTGGGACGTGGACAAGGACGACGACTACGAGGCCATGTGGCGGCGCATCATCGAGGACGAGCCGCACTTCGTGCACATGTGCTCTCCGTGCTGGAAGCTGTCGATCACGCAGCAGCGTGTGCCTTTGGAGCGCCGGAGAGACCCGGCACAGCACGTCGCGGACGTGAAGTGGTCGGTGGACTTGGTGCACGTGGTCGTGGAGGTGGCGATCTACCAGATGGAGCGGGGCATGCACTTCGTGTACGAGACTACCCCGAGGTGCGCTAGCCTCCAGGTGCCGGTGATGAGGCAGCTGCTGCAGACGAAGGGCGTATACGTGGGCGTTGCGAGCGGATGTGAGTTCGGTCTGAGGTGCCCGGACACCCTCAAGTTGATGCCCAAGAGCTGGGAGTTTGTTACGTCGGCATCGGAGGTGGCGAGGGCAGCCCATCGAAGGTGCGGAGGGGGACACGGGCATCAGCACACGGAGGGCATGCTGAAGTGCGGTGTCAAGCGCACGGTGTTCGGGCAAAGGTATCCCCGGAGGCTGGTGGAGGCCGTCGTGCGGGGCATGCGGCGGCAGTGCCAGGTGGAGGCGTCCAACCCAGAGGCTGGGCGCGGAGCAGTGCAGGAGGAAGGAGAGCCCGAGGTGATTGAGGAGGACGCGGACGAGACGCGGGATGTCTTACGTCGGCCTCGCAGTTCAATCGAGAACAGACTCCGGAAGCTGCGCGTCCAACTCGGACACTGCAAAAACAACGTGCTGGCGCGACACCTACGACGCGCGCATGCCACGGAGCAGGCGATCAAGGCGGCCCAGGAGTTTTACTGCCCGGAGTGCGAGGGCATGAAGTGCCCGAAGGTCGCCCAACACAGCGCGCCGGCAGAGGCCCATCTGCCCCTGAAGTACGTGAGCATGGATTGCAAGGACCTGCCGAGCTGGATCCCCGGCGAGCGGATCACGCGCCTGGGCATCATAGACGAGACAAGCTCGCTGCGTCAGGTGGAGGGGCCGGCGATTGGCCAGTCGAAGACGTCAAAGAACCTCGTGGACGCGTTCGAGCGAGCGTGGGTCCGTCCATGCATCCGTCCGAAGTGGTTGAAGGTGGGCCCCCCACGGGGCCCAGATCAGCGACGAGTTCACCAACTGGTGCGTCAGGAGATCGAGGTGGTCGACGCTGCGGGAGGTGCGAAGGGGCCGGCCGGCAAGACCGAGCATCACAACCAGCTGTTCGAGATCATGCTCGAGGGCGTCATCGGGGAGGCGCAGCCCCAGACGGAGACGGAGTGGCGCGAGTGTGCGATGGAGCTGGCGCTGGCTAAGAACAGCCTCCTGTCGGTGACCGGGGTGTCACCGATGCAGGTGGTCTTCGGTCGCAACCCGGAGGTGCCGGGCGACCTGCTGAAGGGCAGCCCCGACCTGATCACCAACGGCGCGATCGTGAATGACCCGGTCGCGGCGCAGCAGGCGCGGATCAGGGCGATCGCCCGCGTGAAGGTGCTCATGCAGCGGGACAAGCTGGCGGCCTGGCGGGCCCTGGACTCTCGACCTAGAGTCGTGGCCAAGTACCAGCATGACGACATGGTGGCGGCGTGGCGCATGATGAGGATCCCGGCAAGCGAGCTCACCACAGGTGGCGGCCAGGAACCTGCATGGGCGAGGTGCGCGGCAACTACTGGGTGGCGCTGCCAGGCGCGGCGGTGAAGGCAGCGCCGGAGCAGATGAGACCTGCGGCGCGCGAGGAGCGACACGCGTGGCGCATGGTGGAAGCGGAGCTGAGGACCAAGATGGTGGGCTTGGAGCACAGCGGCCAGAGATTCGAGGACATCACCGGCGGCGAGCGGCCCCCGGAGGAGGTTGATGAAGATGCACCCCCGTGTCCAGAAGATCAGGCACCACCAGCGGAGGCGCCGGAAGCGGGAGACCAGGCAGATGATGACCAAGACGCTGAGGCAGAAGATGATCAGGCGGAGCATCCCACAGGACGGAGGCGCACGCGCGGCAAGCAGGCGGTGGACAAGCGGACCCTGGGCGAGGCGCGCCAGCCAGCTGAGGGCCAGATGGAGGAGGGTCTCGAGGAGCCAGACGAGACCAAGCGCCCGAGGTTGGAGGAGCAGGCGACTGCCGGGGCATCAGCCGGCGGCTCGAGCTCGGCCAGCGGTCAGCAGCAGTTCGGAGGAGCGGTGCATCCGCCGAGCCTGCCGAGTCCACCGCTCCAGGACTTCGCGGACGCTCACCTGGCGGAGGACGTGGGCGCGGACACCGTCGCGGGCATGGTGGATGTCCTGCTCGCGCAGGGCGGCAAGGAGATCAACGTCAAGGAGGAAATGTGGAAGTCGCCCTTGGGTCGCGCGATGATCGAGAGGGCGTGCGGGAAGGAGATGACGAGCCTGGTGCATGAGATCCAGGCGTGGAAGCCGGTGGATCTGGAGACGTCGCGGCTGCTGAAGACGCAGGTGCCAGAGCGGATCCTGCGCCCGAGGCCGGCGCTGACGTTGCGATCTGGCGACGACGGCAAGGGCGAGGTCAAGTGCCAGTGCGCGCTGCAGGGCTGCAAGGACCCCGACATCCTGGACCTGGTGCGCGAGGGCCGGACGGCAAGCCCCACCATGTCAACCAACGGGCGCGCGATGCTCCTGCAGACGCTGGCGTCGTGCAAGTTCGAGATGACGATCGGCGATGCGAAGTCGGCGTTCCTGGTGGCCGAGCCGGAGGCGAGGCCAAACGGCCCGATCTACGTGGCGATGCCGAAGGACTACGCGCTGAAGGATCACCACCCAGAGCAGCTCTTCGAGGTGATCAACGGGTGCGGACTTGGAGACCAGCCACAGCAGTGGTGGCGCACGCTCGAGCGGTTCATGGTGGAGGAGCTGGAGTTTGACCAGCACCCGATGGACCCGTGCGTGTTTTTGCTGAGGGGGCCGGTGACGCAGGAGAACGCCCACCTCGTGGCCAGGGACCGGGTGTCCGTGATCCCGTATGCCACGGGCTCTGAGCGTGCACAGCTTCGCGGCGAGCCGGGTACGCTGTGCGGCATCCTCGGAGTGCACGTTGACGATCAGGTCAACGGTGGTTGTGGGCAGTTGTGGGAGAGTGCTATGAAAAAGCTGAGAGCGAGATTCCCCTTCCGGAAATGGGCGACGGGCAGCGGGAAGTTTACGGGATCGGTCCTCACCCAGCGGGCCGACTACTCGATCGTCCAATCGCAGTCGGAGTGCACGAAAAGGATCAATCCAGATAAATTTAGGGGGTCGGTCCGACCCGATGATGTGGCTCAGCCTTTCGAAGTGCGCGACCATATCTCGACTGCGCAGCAGGGAAACTGGGCGGCGGGCCAGACGAGGCCCGACTTGAGTTGCCAGATTTCGTTCGCCCAGCACATCATGCCTAACCCGTCGGTCGGACAGATTCGGAGATCGAATGCGCGGGCGAGGAGAGCGAAGCAGTTTCATGGGATCGATCACCTTCCTGAGTATCCCTCCAGAGCGGTTGCGTTTCGTACGCCACTCGGACGACTCGTCAAAGGACCTAGATGGGGCCGGTAGGACGCAAGGCGGGTACATCATAGGTACAGCGGGACCCTGCATGGCTAAGGGTTTCTTGGCTCCCTGGTGCCCTCTGGTCTGGAAGTCTCAGAAGATCAAGCAGGGGTGTACTTCGACGCTGGCGGGGGAAAGCAAGCTTCGCAAGGCCTCCCTGGGTCGCCTGGAGTGGATCACGCGCGCTCTCGCGGCCACCCTGTACCCCGTGTTCTGTCTGGAGAACCGGGGCAAGTACTCCAGGAAGTTCTCGGCCATCAGCGCCATCGATTGCAAGTCGGCGTTCGATCATGTGACCAAGCCAGGGGCCCCCACAGGACTCGACGACAAGAAGGCCTCCATAGACATCGCCATAGCCAAAAGGAGCCTCCGGGCGTTTGGTGGCACTCTTCGCTGGGGCCCGACAGAGCTCATGCTAGGAGATGCGTTGACGACAGATTGAGCAGAAGCAGCGGACGTGTTGAGAGCATGTCTGAGGGCGTCGGCGTACCATTTGGCAGATGAGTCCGTCATTTTGGCTAAAGCTCAAGCTGAGAAATCTGCTCGCGTTAGCCGCGCCGGTGCCCATGCTCCTTCCTGGTCTGCAGAATGGTGCTGTTCGAGGTGACGGGCAGCGACGAGCAGACCAGGGCGTTCATGCTCGGCCTGCTGGACGTCTACCCGGACTTCTCGTCATCCATGGCGGCGGACACCAAGGTCAGGGCGAGGGTGCCGGCCAAGTCTCTCTTGGGGGGCGTGCCGGCCAAGAAGGGCAACATCATGGTGGCGCTGCAGTGCGTCGTCAGTACTGGCAATGTGCAGGTGTGGGCGGCCGCCGCGGTGGAGGGCGAGATTCGCGAGAAGCTCGCGGGGCTCGAGAAGGCGCGCGCGGCGTGGCAGAGCGCGCCGCCCGACGACGAGCCGAAGGTGGAGATCAAGTCGCTGGCAACGGAGTTCTTCCGGAGCAAGACGGAGAAGCCCTACGAGCTGGGGCCCGAGGACATCATGGCGAAGATGAACCTGCCGCCGACGAGGGCTACGCCGAAGGAGTGGATTGAGGCGCGAAGATGCCTTACAAACCCTTCATCTCTATTTGGAGGACAAAAAGTGCCGCGACAATGATTACCATAATTAACCGCTATTTCCCCGACCGTGGCCAAACTCGCGCGTTTCCAGGAGAGTCGCATACGGCTCGCATTATGGAGCTCTGCCCGTTAGTTGTCCTTCCCTTTCTTGTTTCTTTCGTCTCGCTTCTCTGTCCCATCCTTCTTGAATTATCATCCCTTTTTCTTGTGCCCGCTCTCATGCGCGTCATTCGCCGCCCTCTCCACGCCTCCTTTGGGTATCTTGTGGGGTCCCTGGCGTTTCTCCTTTAGGTTTGCGTTTCAGGTATCAGGGCTTCCTGGAGATCTCCACGCCCCCCTTGACGGTTTGGGGGCCCGCGCGCGCATCGCGTAGCAGTTCGCAGGTTGCAGGTCGCAGTCGTGGCTTCCAACTGGAGAATCGGGGAGAACGAGGAGGGCAGGGAAGGAGGAGGAATAACACTGAGGATGAAGGAGGAAGGGCAGAGGAGGGATCAGGAGGTGTCATTGGGCCTGGGGATTCCAGTCGGTCGCTCCCCTTTTCTGTTTTTCTTTGTTCGTGGCGCTCGTGCAGAAGGGTCCCGAGGTTTCGGGCCCCAAGGTCTGCTGATTTCCTGGGGGCATCCTTCCTGGTAGTCTTGCGCCACGGCTGAGTATCGGTTGATCCGAGGGTTGACGGGGTTCTAGCTAAATCCGTGGCGTTTGCCCTGAGACATCGGACCCCCAGTCCTTCGGACTTCCTTGGTTTTGTTTGTCATCCCTTTCCCCTCCCCGCGAGCTCGGAACATCGGCGCCGCCCCTCGCCCGCTTTTCTCCCATTGAGGGCCCCAGGGCTGGGGCGCAAGGGCTGGGGCGCCGCCGCCGTGGAGGGCGAGGGGGCGGCCCTGGAGCTTGCGCGGCTGAGAGGCGCCGATCTCGGCATCGAGCAGGGCGCGGCTGCCATCGGAGGTTCCTCTTCCCGCCCCTTCCCTCCCATTTTTCATCTCCATTAATTTCTCCTCTCCGCAGGTTGCGCGCTGGCGGAGCTGATGCACATCGATCCCCGGCACGTCCACTTGCAGAATTCGGACATTGCCCCTCGTGCCGCGCGTCTCGGGAGGTCGCAGGCCGCGCACTTGAAGCTTGCCAGGGACAAGCGCAACCAACGCTTGCAGCGCTTGCGGTTGCGCTCGGATGCGAGCGCCGTGGAGAGCGCGAGGCAGGCGTGGAACAACATGCGCGCGAGGGTGGGCGACTTCCTGGCCAGGGCGAGGGAACGTCGTCAAGAGCGCAGGGCTTGGACACACAGCAACCAGTGGACAGCGAGGTCGTTGCTTCAGGTGGCATTCAAACATGTCGGGGCTTCGCATGTCCAGCGCGAGGGCCTCGACGGATGTGCGAGTCTGGTCCCAGTTCCTGGAGTCGCTGGGGCCGTTGCTGACCTCCAGGGCGACAGGGCCCGACGTTGAATCATACGTCCCCCCCCTTCTCCTGCCCTGCCTCTTCCTCCTCCCCCTCCTCCCCCTCACTCTCTTCGTCCTCCAGCGCCTCTTCAATCTCCTCCTCCTCCTCCTCCTCCTCCTCTCCTCCTCCTCCTCCCCCCTCTCCCCCTCCCCGCCCCCCCCCCCCTTGCCCTCCTCCTCCCCCCCCCCCCCCTCCCCCCTCCCCATCCTCATCCTGCTCCCGCTTTTCCCCCCTCCGCCTCCTCCCTCTTTGCTCGTCCGCCGAAGGATCCGCCAGTGCCTCGGCGAGTTCGGGGGGGGGGGGAATTCGCCGGTCGCGTCGAAGCATTACGACGCGACCCCTCTTCGGCTGAGCGTTCATCGCGGGCCCTTGCGAGAGCAGCTCCCACCGATGGCGAGGTATCTTCGACAGCGGGCAGATGGGGAATCGGAGGTAGTGCCTTATTCCGAGTTCATTCGTTGGGTTCCCAAGCATCGAATTCAGTTTGGGATTTCCGAACGTTTCGCCTTGGAAGTTGATTTGCACGGAGTGTGTGGCTGCAACTTTCGCAGCAAAGGACTCATATCGTGCCCCCCGTGCTTATTATCTCACGCTGGCGCTGCCTGCGCCCGCGCAGCGACAGAACTCGTTCCTGGCGCGAGCAGCAGCGAGATGATCGCGCTGGCCAGCCGAATAAAGTTTCTGATCTTGAACGACACCCCGGACAACGCTGGGGCCAACTACAGGCGGAAGCGGTTCGCAGCGCAGGAACTCCGCGAGGCCCCGAACGTGTTGATCAAAAATTGCGGTTCTTGGGGGCTACAGATTCGGGGCGACGGGTGCGAGGGCGAATGCGAAGATGGATGAGGGTCAGGGACGAGGACATGGGGGGCAGCTACGGTTATGAGGACGATGGCAAGGGGGGCGAGGCGAGGGCTGGGGTGGATCGATCGAGGGAGGTCGATAGAGTGAGATCGAAAGCGAGATCGATAGCGAGATCGATCGATCGCGACGTTGGCCCCCCCCCCCCCCGAACCTCCTTATCACCCGAAGGGTGGTTGTATAAACATATGACAGCGATCACGCCGCGTCCCCCGCCCCCTTGCCTCCTCGGCGACCTTCTCATCCGCCAAGGTTGCTTGGCCCAGTCGCTGCACAGGGTGACCGCGACAACCATTCCAGAGAGCGGCATCGTGGGGGACCTCCACGCGATCGCTCTCACTTCGCTAGTTTGAAGCAGCAGGCGCGCGGTCGTTGGCCACGCCTTTTTCGCCCGTTATCTCGTTTGTCGAAACCAGACATCGGGGGCCATGGGCGACCCGAGACGGAGGAGGGGGGAGGCAGACTCAGGAGGGGATCACGTTGCCCTCGACCCCGCCAGGGTTTGTTGGTCAGGTTCGTGAGTTTTTGCGAGTGGCCTGTTCCGATGTTCGTTGGGGCCTCGCGCGGATCCTTGGTACCATCTCGGGGGTTAATGCGTTGATCCGCGGGCGGCGTCCACCTCGGGCTTGCGGCTTTTTTTTGCCCCCTTACATCCTGAGTGGGGTTCTTGTTTTCCCAGAGCACCCTCTCCTTCCCACCCGCCTCCCGCTCCATCTTCCATGCCGCGCAATATTATTCCTACCGCGCACACCATGCCACACCATAGTTCCTACCACGCATACCATACCATACCATACCACACCATACGTGCCATACCGTACCATACCATACCATGGCGTACCATAGCATACCATACCATATCACACCAATGCCGCACCGTACCATACCATACCATACCTCCAGCACCATACCATACCATATCATACCGTACCGTACCATACCAAACCTACCATACCAGTCCATACCACTCCATACCGAAAACCATACTACTTACATGGTTTCGCGCCCCTCCCACCCCTCCAGGGAGGCCCCGCCTGAGCGAGGAGGGCATCGGACAACCATTGTATTTACATGGTTTCGCGCCCCTCCCACCCCTCCAGGGAGGCCCCGCCTGAGCGAGGAGCGCGTCGGAAAACCATGCTATTTACATAGTTTCGTGCCCCTCCCACCCCTGCAGGGAGGCCCAGCCTGAGCGAGGAGGGTATCGGAAAACCATATTATTTCATGGTTTCGCGCCCCTCCCACACCTCCACGGAGGCCCCGCCTGAGCGAGGAGGGTATCCGAAAACAATATTATTTACATGGTTTCGCGCCCCTCCCAC